GGGAATTCAGAAAGGCACGTAGTGACCTTATGCTGCGGCTGCCGGTGGCTTTAGGAAGGTGGAAGAGATGCAGCTCTGCTGCCTCTCAGCCCTGTAAAAGGGTAAGGATAAGGCCAGTAGGATGTGCTGCAGGAACTGGGAGGCTGTGGGAAGGTTTCACTGCGCTATGGCAATATTAATACAGCATTATGAGGAATCCCTAAATGACTGATTAACTGTCAAATTGTGATGCTGTGCCCGTGCATGATGGTACCTGGGAAAAAATGCAGTGAGGCAAAGTAATTACAATACTAACCTGGAGTTTCTTTATAGGTCTTTGTGGTTTTATCCCCTCTTCTTTTTCTCAGTTTTTTTCTCCTCCTTTTCATTTCCTTCTTTGCCCTTCATTTTCCTTCTTTATTATTTATAAAATTCCCTTTTATTATTTTCTTCCCATCTAGTTTCTTTCATTTCTCCTTTTCTCCTAGCCCCTTTGTGCCCCATATTGCATTTGCCTTCTGTTAATCAGTCCTTCCCCAGATCCTGATACCTCATGGGAACTGTCGTTCAAGGGCTTTAAGGCTGATTTTACAGTTTTTCCTCTCTTGTTCTTTTCTTATCTGCTTCACAGGGGTAAGGGCTGTTAGTCTGACTGGCAGAGCGTTCCTGTTGTGGCTGCTGCTGCTGGTGGAAGAACAAACTTGCTGAAGGTCCCTGAAGGGACCTTACCAAGGTCCAGCTGAATATTTGCAGTGTTTCACACACAGATTAGGCACTTCACAGAAAAGCTATTTTGATGCAGTCACAGTGTAATGTTTGTGTATAAGGTGGGAATGATGATGGTGCAGGGGGCGCAGAGAAGGAGAAGAATGAAACAGGCTTTCCAAATGTATCGTTACAAAAATACTCGTTTAATCAAGGGGAGGAAAGGACCGCCATCTTTTTCATAGGTATTAGAAACGGTGTGTTCCTGGAGTTGTTGGTTTCAATTTTCAGCTATGATAGGCCAGCTGTTATGTCATTTGCTGGCATTAATTACTGCAGGACTTAAGCTAATCTTGTTTCTGAAGAAGCCCAGCTGAGGTGGGCAGCTCCAGGTTTGTCTCTCTGGCTGGCGGCAGGGAGGGTTTGGTGGTGCTGGGGCGCATCTCTGAGCCAGCCCCGTTTCTCCTGTGCTCCCGCCAGCTCTTCCATGGGGTGGCCCATGTGCACGGGGCTCCAGAGGAGCCTCGGCAGAGCTGCTCTCAGCTCCCCAGGCCAAGCGTGGCGAGAGCCATTGCACAGCCCTGGGCAGCCGGGTCCTGCAGCTGCCTCCACAGCTGCAAGCACTCAGGGGCAGGGGGAAAGAATAGGCAATTTTTTAAATCAGGATTTACTCATTACATCTGGGAGCTCTCTGATGACATGTCTTTCTAGAAGATTCTCCCTGTCAAAAGCAAGCTTATTACCAATTCAGTTTATTCTCTCCTATTAGGTTGAACCATAGAGCAGCTGAGTTAAATTGACATCATTGCGTATTACCCAAAGAATGAAATTATTTAGAATTAGAAAGCCTGTTCCCCTCCCAAACATTTCTTTTTAAATTCAAAGATAAATTTAAGTCACTCTTAACACAGCAGAAGCTGCCATGCTGCAGCCAGAGGATGAGCTCCTGCTTTGGATGCGGGAGCCAGGCCCCCCTCCGCCAGCAGCCTGTGGTACCCCCTGGGGAGCGATGCCACGGGGTGTCAGGGCTCCCCAAAGCATGGGGCTCAGCCTGCACGAGGCTCGCATCCCGCATGAACAGTCAGAGGCTTCCCAGTGTTCAGGAAGTTAATAATCACTTATGAACTCAGAAGTTTTTAATGGCTTTTAAACTCAAATTTAATTTCACTTTCAATCAAGTTGTGTCAAATTTAGTTTAAGATTAGGTGACAGGCAGTCAGGCTGAACTGCTGCTCTGTACCTCTCCGTTTTGCTTTCCTGCCAGCCCTGGATGAGTAGATTTACTAGATTTACTTTTTTTTTAATTTGCATAAAGGTAGAGGTGAGTGTGCTCAAAAGCAAATATCTGCATTCCCCAAAGCCTTTGTTATGCAAGTAAGCAAGCAACACCAATGTGAAATGCCATTGTGTGACATTTGCAGCACTAAATATCCAATTTTGTGTTGGGCAGAATTTTATTTTTTTTTTCCTGATGCATAGCTTGATTTCTAAGTTATTTTCTGGCTTTTCCTGTGACTACAGAAAGGATGTTGGGGATGACAGAGAAACTGTAAAGTCTTTGAGGTTCGTATTGGCATGTATAAGTCATATGTTTGAACCTGAGTCAATCCCCCAGAAATTATTTTCCCCCAGGCTAGATTGGTGGGCATCCCTGTTTCCTTTTTTATTTTGGTTTTTTTTTCTTGCTTCTGCTATGTGGGTCATAACCAGCTTCCTAGGATTGTCTGAACATTTTTACTTTGTAAACTTAGTGGCTGTGCCCTCAAACATCTCTCTGCTTGCTTCCTCTGGCACACTGTATTTCGTACAGTTTTCAGTCTGATGTACTAAAAGCATTAAATGGAGTGTTGACAAGCATTTTGTGCTTTATGGCTTGGTAAGCGTAGGAGATGGGTGTTCATTGGACTCCTCTAGGTAGAAATGCCCACAGCATGACTGCTGGTGATTGCTGGGGACCAACCTGACTGGTCTCTTCCTCCAGCCTCCCCTACAAAGCGTTACTTCCTTATAAGAACCTTATAGAAAATTTATTTTAATAGTGCCTTGCAGAGTTGGAATTTTAAATTTCAGAGAGTCCAGACCGTTGCCCCCACTCTCAGAGCTACCGTTTTAAAACAAAAGATGCTATGTCTTTCTTAATTCTAGGTGGGATTTAATCATAGCCTCTGTTCCATCTTTTTTGCCCCTGTTCCAGAGGAGAGACTGTTTTACACACAACTCATGATGGGTTTTTTGCAGTTAAACATTTTTTTGCCTTAGTTTGAAAGGGTGTCTTACTATGTGTTTTCTCTTGCTAGATGCTTTCATATGCACCTTCTTTCTTTTCCTAGTAATTAAGTGTCTCAAGCTGGCAGCAACTTCCAGACTGTCCCTCTGCCTAAGTGAGCTATCCTGAGTGTAAGCCGAGAGTTAAACAGAAACAGCTCTGTTCTCTTCACTCCTGTGATCTTACATCAGTTCACCAGTTATTATTTCCTCTTGTCAAATGAAGCAATAGCAAAGCTTTGAAATGATGTTGCGGCTTTTCCAAAGAACAATTTCCCTCTCCTTCTCTCGCCTCCTTCTGCCTTTCCCTGTATATTTGATAGTACATCAGCTTCCTCTTGAAATGATCCCCAGTAGAGCACTTCAGCTATTTCAACCGGAGTTTTTCTGAAGGTATTTTTTTAAAAACTAGCTTCTACAGCAGAGTTTGGTTATAATGAAGAGCAATAAAAAAATCCTTCTGCCTTGGAGAGCCAGTCTTGTACACACTAATGTATGTGGTGAACTCTGTGCCTGGAATATCCCCACTGGAATCAGTCAGTGGTATTGTTTGCACACACAGAGTTAGGCACCTGTGTAAGTGCTTGCAAGGTGATGGCTTTAAATCTCACTAGAAGCTAAAAAGATATGCATTGCTGTGCAGGAGACACTAAACCAAGACAACTCATAGTCATTGTCATTTTTTTTTTATTATCTGTGTTTCTAAAGTGGTTGTTATTTAGCAACACATATAATGAAGAGAACAACAGCGATGATCTTCCGAAGAATTTCTTCACCCCGCTCCAATACTTGTCATCATTTTCATCTAGGCAGGATATTCAGGAAACTTGCAGTCTGGGTAATTTCACAGTGATGCTGAGTGAATATCTGATATGACAGAAGACACCAACGGCTACAGGATTTAATCCTAGCACAGTTTTTCAGATTAATAAATGACATAACCAAAACCCCTCTAGACTTAGTTTCTTGCTGTTACTGCAGGATCGAATTTGGGCTTCATCTGCTCCAGTGTTTCTCTTTGATGTAATTGCCTAGGAAATCACAGAACAATAGTCTTTTGAGTAGACAGGATTTTAAATGCTTATGAGTTTGAAAATAAGGACCAGATAAGGACTGTATTAGGAGTCAGATTAATGGCGAGCCTGCAGTGCAGAGATCTCGGGTGAGGTGCTGTCATCAATACCTTTGGCTCAGAGGAGAAGTTATTCTGCATGGAGTTGTTTGCAGCGTGCAAGTGGAACAGGAGCAGCCTGTCTTGGTGGCCCAAATCTTCACATAAATCCTGGCATGGACAGCATATGTTCAATGAAGTTCATAATTCTTACAGCCTTTCTGTACAAAGCTTCATGTTGAACTGAACAATGATTTAGGATGCAATAGGCTATTTACAATATTACAGGGTTTTCCTGGGGGCATTGCTAATACCAGTGCACCATGCCAATCCAGAATAGCTGGAAAAAAGGATGCTTGGAAAGCTGGAAAGATTTTTGTTCACAATAACACACAGTGTCAATGAATTGTGCAATGGGAAGTCTGTAAGCATGGATCTTTCTGGGGGATGAATGAAGCGGAGGAGAAATGACGCTTCTCAGAGCTTTTGTTTCAGACTCTAAGCAGCTTTTGGTATTCATCATCATTTGCAGTTGCTGGTTTTTAAGATGTGTCTGTAAACAAAGGACTTCTTAGAAAATGTCTTTTTCAAGGGTAGACTGAAAAAGGGTGGAAGACTTTATGAAGCAAAAGTTAACAGCTTCCAAAGTACAACAATATAAGCAAGTTAATAAACATTGAGTGGTAGGTCATAAAATTCCTTTCAGATTTATATAAGAAAACAATACATTGTATAAAATCATAGAATAGATGACCTTTATTTCTTTAAAAGCCTCAGCAATTTCTTTTTAATGGCAAGTATTTGGAAATACTATTTCCTAAATAAAAAATGTCATACTGCTTAAGTTATGGTAACAAGAGTTTCAGCGCTTGTTTTTCTCCCTTCCCTTTCTCTAGGACGGTTGCACTGCCTTCACTGGGTTAGCCTAGCCCTGGTTGTGATGGAGAAGGAAGCCAGCCAACTCGAGAGGGACCATGTTCATAGTGTATATGAGAAAATTGCTCCTTACTTCAATGACGCACGCTACAAAGCATGGCCGAAGGTGCAGCAGTTCATTTCAGAGCAGGAACCAGGCAGTCTGATTGCTGATATTGGTGAGTGGGGCTGTTTATCACATTGGTAATGACAGACTAAGTATCTCCTCTCTTTCTATCAAGCAGTATTTGCAGCAGAAGAGTTTGGAGCATTTGAATCAAACTGGGGAATCAAAATGCCCAGACTGACTATCAAATTTGCCTCCTGCTTTGCTCCACCATTCATAGATATATGAAGACAATTTGACTTTTCCCAGCATCCAGCAGGTCCACTAAACTGAAGTACTAAACTGAAGCTAAATTTATGATGTCATTTGTGGATGCTAAAATTGTGTATTAGTATGATAATTCTGGAATTTGAAATCTTGCTTAGCTCTTACAACATGTATTTTGTGTGGCCAATTAGAAGCAAATATCATGACACTGTCCTGAGTGCTTTGGGGAACGACGTGTGACAGTTTTTAATTCCCCAAAGGTTTCATAGAATCATAGAATCATAGAATACCAGGTTGGAAGGGACCTCAAGGATCATCTGGTCCAACCTTTCTAGCACGATCTAGATGAGATGGCCCAGCACCATGTCCAGCTGAGTCTTAAACGTGTTCAGCGTAGCGGAGTCAACCACTTCCCTGAGGAGATTATTCCAATGATTGACTGTTCTCATTGTGAAAAATTTACCTCTCGTGTCCAATCAGGATCTCCCTGGGAGTAACTTGTACCCGTTACCCTTTGTCCTCACCATGGGACTCCTTGTAAAAAGGGAGTCTCTGTCTTCTTTGTAGCTCCCCTTTAAGTACTGGTGCATGGTGATGAGATCACCTCTAAGCCTCCTTTTCTCAAGGCTGAACAAACACAGCTCTCTCAGCCTGTCCTCATATGGCAGGCTTCCCAGACCCTTGATCATCTTGGTGGCCCTTCTCTGGACCC